GCCCCCGCGGCGTCTGCCAGGTTTCAGGCAGAGGTGCGGCAGGGGGCCAGGGAGTGGGGCAGGAGCCCCTGGGAGCCCCGCCAAGCACCGTGTCCCCGTGGCAGGTGACACTGCGTGCCGGTGCAGAGCTCAATGCCCGTCAGGTGAACCAGTACACCCTGACCCTGCGAGCCGCTTGTCCCGATGAGAACGAGGTGGAACAGCAGCTCTTTGTCCGGGTGACAATGGGGCAGGTGCTGCGCTGTGACACTCCCTTTGCCAGCGCAGGTAGGAGCCAGGGGGCACGGAGTGGTGGGGGCCGGGGATGCCAGCTGGCACTGGGATCCCATGGCCGTGCTGTGCCACAGGAGGGGATGTGGTGCAGGTGCTGGCGGACGTGGCACCCCGGACACCCCTGTACGCGGTGCTGCTGCAGCCGCTTGGCGGGCTGGCCGCTGGTGGCTGCCCCAGGAGCCTGAGGGCCCCACAAATGGCGTCAGCCTTGGGGACAGTGGAACCTCAGGCATGAAGGTAGGATCAGGGTGCCCACCTTCTTCCCACCCTCCTCCCACCACCTGTGTCTCTGCAGTTCCGTCTCCGAAACCATGACACACCACTCACACTCACTCGCCGGGGCTTGGTGTTGGCGCCTGCTGATGGCTTTGACCCCAGCAAGGACATCCAGGTGGGCACCAGTGTCCCCAGGCTGTCATAGCCACCTCTCAGCCTGCCTGATCTTAGCCTCTCACCACCACTGGCTGCAACTCTCTGCATCCTGCTCCTCCTGTTGGGCTCCTGTCTTCTCCCAGCCCTGGGATGCTCCAGCCCTGTCCCTAGGCCCAGCTCGATCCTCTTCTGCATCTCAAATCCCAGTTCTCGTCCCTGTCCCTATTTCCATCCCCATTCTGGTCTCCACCTCATCCTCCTCTCCATCTCCACCCCTCTTCCCAACCCTATTCCTCCTCCAAGCCTCATTTTGTTCCCTGTCCCCCTCCCCTTTCCTCTCTGTCCCTGTTCCTGTCCTCATCTAATCCCTCTTCCTGTCCCTATTACTATCCTCATCCCTATCCCTGTCTGCATCCCCATCCCCACCTCTGGTGCCACCCAGGGCTGTCCCACAGTTACCCTGGCATTGCCCTATAGATGTTCAGGCTGGAGATCGAGGTGATGGACCGCCATGGGCATAACTGCAGCGGGGTCGTGAGGGTAGAGGTGCTGCCATCGCGGCGTCCCTGTGTCACTTTCCCGTGAGTGGGGCTG